AAATATGGTTAATATTTTTGTGAAAGACAATTTGATTAATGGAAACTGTCACTTTTGAGCAATTTAATGTGTCCTTGCTGAATAAAGTATTAATTTCTTGCCAAAAGAAAAAAAAAATCTTACTGACACCAAACTTTTAAACAGTAGTGTATATGTTTCAATTTGATATTTGACAAATTCTAAAACCTTTCCTATTGAGGCCTTTTTGAAAGCATTTGAATAAACCCTTACCATATCGATCAATTAGAGAAACTGAACACATATCTCTGAGACAAGATAGTACCTTCATTGTCATAAGAGCCTGCCACAGAACGGGAGATGTATCCAGGGACGACAGCGATCATGGCGGCAGCCAGAAGCCCTGCACCCGCATCCTGCAACATAAAGTGTTACTTCAGTTAGGAGAATTAGCTAGACAAATAATGAGCAGGTGGGTGTGATGGACGTGTGCTGAAGTTCATCTCACCTTGAGCTCTTTTGTGAAGTGGTAGGTGACGATAGCGGTGAAGGAGGAGAAGAGAGGGGCGAGGAACACACACACATTGCGGATGTCGATGGTGATGTGGAAGAAGTGTAGAACGTGATACAAAGCCGCAGATGTGATCATCAACCCTGTAGGAAACAACGAAACACACCATTGCTATGCAGATGTAGCACTGTTTAAAGTGGTTTTAGCCTGTTGTTATAAGGTTGCTAGTCAAAACAGTCCCTAAATACGGTTTATATATAGATCACAGCCAGTTTTATCATCCATCAGATGAAAAAGTCCAATCACTTAGAAAACTAATGATACAACACAATTTGCGGTGTCTGTGCAGGTCAAAGTTTAATACTAATGGTTAAGGGTTTGTTTAACATTTAAAAAAAATAAGGAAGTGACATCACCAATGCCATCAAGATTAGTAATGTAGCTTCATCAAAGAAACAGTTGACCCAAAACAAAAATGTACAGGCCATTCAAGATGTAAATGAGTTTGTTTCTTAATCGGAACAGATTTGGAGAAATTTAGCATTACATCAATTGCTTGCCAATGGATCCTCTGCAGTGAATGGGTGCCGTCAGAATGAGAGTCCAAAATGGTTCTAAACAAATATGTTGCTGCATTTTGATGTGAGAGTACAACAGAGGATAAACTTTTTCACAGGAGGTGGCATGTTATGGCCAGAACCTACAGTTTAAAGTTAAAATGTCTTATTGAAGAATGTGTTTCCTACAAACATGCTGCTTTTCACTTCTCAATATGTTAATTGATGGACTGGAGTCGTGTGGATTACTTGTGGATTATTGTGATGATTTTATCAGCCGTTTGGACGGCACCCATTCACTGCAGAAGATCCACTGGTGAGCAAGTGATGCAATGCTAAACTTCTCCAAATCTGTTCCGATTAAGAGACAAACTCTTAATATATAAAATATTCAATATATTGGATGCATATTTTTATTTTTGGGTGAACTATTCCTTTAACAATCTTTTCCAAGACAACATTCCATTAAATGCAATGACCTTGTTGCAGCACGAGTAAAGCATTCTGGGGTTTTGTACTTGGCGTCAGGCCACAAGTGGCTGAAAAACACATTCTTATATTGCTATAAATTTTTTAATTAGTGTCATTCAGCTGTACCGGGATAGATGGTGCCTCCTATAATCCTCCCAAGTGGATACCAAGCCCGATCATCAAACCAGTTATGGAATTTGTAAAAACCCTCTTCTGTCAAGAACCGAGTGGTCCGGTAATTGAAATAACTGCCAACAAGAAACAGCTCATTTAAACAAGTGTTCGGATGCTGGTGCACTGCAATAATGACCCAGAATCTACACTTACGGATCGAACTCATGGATGACACTCTCGAACCGAAGAACAGAGAACAGTCTGGTGGAGAACGCTGGAGGAAAATGACAAGACAGACAGCTTTAGAGGACAGCTGACATACAGGAGTCCGATACAAAGGGACGTGTATCCACTCACACAGGACGGCTGCCATAGACAGGATGAGCAGTTTCAGCAGGGTGTCCTGTTTCTCATAGGACAGACGCAGGAAGCCCAGCTTGGTCATCTTAACACACAGGAGGCAGGACTAACTCTTGATACCTGACAAAACAGCATGTTAACATAAGCAATGCAACTGTTAATAATAATAGTAATACAACTTAAACTATACATACATTTTAGGGGAAAAAAGTGAAATGTTTGAGCAGCGTGGAATAGGGCTCCTTTAATAACAAACTATGTACAAGCAGTAAGCAAATTTTGGCAGATTTAAACTTCTAAATATGATTATGCAATCCTACAATTTATTTTTGCCCTGATTAAAGAGGTTTTTCAAATTGATTAAGCGTCAAATATGAATTGTAGAGGGTAAAGCAGTTGAAGAAATGCATAAATCTGCATATTATGTGATCTGTTAAAGTGTCAAATCTTTATAAAATCAGGAAGAGCCAGTTTGTGCACAATTCCTATACAAAACCCTACTCATTAACACTTCACCACACATGTACAAGAAGACAAATCAATTCAGAGAGTATAAAAGATGCACATAAATAATGTTTTTCTGATGAGCTATTCGTGATAAACTAATAAAAGTCTTGATTAGCTCCTTAGCTGCTAGCTAACATTACACCTATCTCACACCTTTCCAAGCTTTTTTTTATCATACGTAAATGTGTTATTTAACGCAAGGGAGTAAATGTAATGACAGCGAACCTATATAGTTGCAATAAATAAGATTAGAAATTATAAATGTGCAAAATTACCAGTCTTATTCATCGGCGGTTCACTCACTCCAGCCCTACCACACTCTCACATACAACACTCTCTGCGATCAAGCCCCGCCTATCCACGTAGAAAGGGCGCTAATTGGCTCAGCGTCACGATTCCGAGAGAACGGCTTTCGCTGATTGGTCTTCGAGATGTCATTCAAGCGTGTCAAGACTAGTTCCGCATGGCGCTCCAGATATGACGTGTCCTAAAGGGAGAAAGACAGTAAGCACTGTGGAATCCATGCAGCACTCAACTTTAAAACTTTAACTATCAAATATCATAACATTTATGTTATTTTAATTGTTAAATAAAATTTCCCTTACAAGTTCATGATGATTTATATCAAGTAGTAGTAGTATCATTTTATTTAATGCCATGACAGCATCTGAGGCAATTTTCATGGCAAAAACTCTAATTACAAAAATACAAATATTACATAAATACAATAACAACCAAGCAAACAAACAAACACAGCAAGTAATATACAATAATTTTTAAATTAACATATGATAAAAATCTAAAACCTTTTCAGGCAAAATCTTACTAAATAAGTACTTAAGTGAACTAACTTTATAAAAGCTTTCGACTTGCATTAAAATCGGGACAGTCCAAAAGAATGTTTAATAAAAAGGGGGTCTTGCAGAACATGCATAGAGTTGGGTCTATGCACGAGTTAGTCTTGTAAAAAAAATTATGAAGTTTTGTACACTTCTAAAGCAAAGTGTTTATTTGGGATAGTTGCCTGTTTTGTCTAACAAAAAGTTATTTGATTTATCTCATGTATTGTGACTAATACATAATTTTCTATACATTAATTAAAAAATGATATACAAAAAGTTTGGAATAATTTAGATTTTTTTTAATGTTTTGAAAGTCGTCTATTATGCTCACCAAGGCTCCATTTATATGATGAAAAATTCAGTGAAAACAGTAATATTGTGAATTACTATTACAATTTAAAATAACTGTTTTCTGTTTTAATATATTTTAAAATGTAATTTATTTCTGTGATGGCAAAGCTGAATTTCCAGCAGACATTAATCCAGTCTTCAGTGTCACATGATGATCTTTCAGAAATCATTCTAATACACTGACTTGGTTCTATTATTAAAATACATAATAATTAAAAAAAAATTTAAATCAGTTTGAGTTACAGTAAAATATGACTCAACATATTTTGTAAAATGCATACTACCTAGTGTTTCCCAAAAAGAACATCTTCAGTGCAGTACAAGTCATTTTGGATAAAAACGTCTGCCAAATACACAAATGTAAATACAAAATAAGACCATTATGTACAAACACTGTACACAGACCAAATTTATTGAAATAATGTAATACTTTTACAAAATGTCACTCACAAATATCCATCTGTAGGTGTAACACTATGGACTCCTGATGATAATTACAACCCTTTTTAAAATACACACCACCCACCCCCCACGGATACAATGACATAATATGTGTTTCAGTTTCAAATGTTTCAAAACAGGTTCCAGGTACTGAACTCCAGGAACAATCACCACAGTAGACATCCACTTGACATGCCAGCATTCATCGGAAACTGGATCCGTGATCATTTAAAGAACAGTTTCACACGTGTCACACAGTTTGCCAGTGCCACCTGACAACAGCAGAGGAATAAAGCTTGTGCATACTGTTGGAAATCATCCCCGGACCATTACAGATGACACTGGATCATGTTGACATGGTATTCCCAAAATAAAAAACGCATTATAAAAGAAACCAAATAAAAGCAGCTCCCTTTTAAGTTTTACATTGTTACTTCTAGAATTGCTCAGGGGGAAAAAATCCATCATTTACTCACTCTCATGTCGTTCCTAACATGACTGACTTTCTTCTGTAAAACACAAAAGAAGAAATTTCAAAGATTGATCACACTGCTGTTTTTCATAAAATATAAGGATATAGGGACTTGAGCAGCATGAACATTTTGCAAAATCTCTTCTTTTGTGTTCCACAAATTAAAGAAACATAAGGGTGAATAAATAATTTTCGGACAAACTATTCCATTAAGAAGATGTGTAGTCAAAGTAATGAGCTTTAAAACGTCTAGCAAACTCACAACATTTTAGGTCAAGAAACATCCCTTGCATAAAGAGGCCTTTCAATTTGATCGTTTTTCAGTCTAGTCCACATTTCAGTGCAGAAAAACAAACCATTGGGGGACATTTTTCTACTGATCCATACCGTAAGTTATTAGCTAAAGCATGTCATAGAGCTTAGTGTTAACTGAGAAACAAACTGTCATGTGTCTGGACCTCACAAGGCAGAAAAAGTCATTACATAAAATTAAAAAGAAGGCCATAAATAGATAAAACGAGTTGAGATAGAAACTACAGGGCCTAAAAGAGGAGGGAAGTCAGTTCACAGAAAATGTGCACGCCGAGATCTTTGTGCTGTCTCTACAAATCACCCAAATGGCACATAATGGGTACAAAAATAGTCCAACAAAAATCACACAGAGAATCATGACCTTGTGTATCAGCACAGGGCGATCACATTACTAACCCGTCCGATTCATCCTTCAGAAGAACATCGACAGACACTTTCAAACACAGACAACGCAAATATTTTTCCATCCACTCTTTCAAACCAAACTGAGTTGGGAATCCTGAAAGAGGTCACTGGGGGGGCATAGGTCGCTGGCGCGTCGGGGACACGTGAGGCGAGGGCAGCTTCTCTGTGGATGTGGAGGTCGGGATGGAGCTCTGCAGGTGCACCGTCTTGTGGAACAGTTTGTTACTGATGAGGACGACCAGGGAAAAGAGGCGGAGCTGGAAGTGGCTGCAATGTTGGAAAAAACAGCAATGTTATCAGCAATAAAATATCTTTTTTAGTACATTTTACATTAAAAAAAAAAACAAAAAAAAAAAACTCATTACTAGAGTTTGACTGGGGTCTTTGCTTCGTTTGCACTGATGATGAAGAGTGGGAAGAGAATGGAGAACAAACAGCCGCTGGAGGAAAGAGTGCAAGATTAGTAGTCACACAGAAATGATACATTATGGAATACTACATATACCTAGGAAAACACTAGGGATGACTCAGAGTGATATTAAAAAAAAAAAGTTCACCTTCATGTCGTTCGAAACCTGACTTTCTTTTGTGGAACACCAAAGAAAATATTTTGAAGAATTTTTACGACTAACCAGTTTTGGTTACCATTGATTTCCATTGTATGGACCAAAAAAAAGGACATTTTTCAAAATATCTTCTTTTGTGTTCAGCAGAAGAAAGAACAGGTTTGAAATGACATGAGAGTGAGTAGATGATGACAATTTTCATTTTTCTCTTTAATCACGATCAGATCAGAAGATGGTAAGTCGAAATGGACTCTGATTGTACCTTATGATGTATGAAGAGGGCAGCGCAGTCAGTAGTGCCATGGGCAAACCAAAGCCAAAGTAATACGGCCAGTTTCTCTCAATGTTTGACAGCCTTTGGTGCATTTCAATTCCTTCAGAAGAGATAAAATGTCAATCAGGAAAGGTTTCGAGTAGATATTCTGATCGTTTGTCACACTGATTGATCAGAGGAGTCACACACTTACCGTGATTAAACCAGCGATATTCAAAGCAGTAAAGCGAGTAGAGCAGAGACATGTGCAGGAGACTGACCAACTGACCAATAGCATCAATGGGAAAGAGACTCACGGTCCATCCCTAAAAAACAACAGACATAAAATGTGTTTGAAAAAGAGAGATAAACAAGCGGAGTGAATCACAGATGTAAAGATTTCAGTGATCTTCTACCTGGATGAGGAAGAGTGCCTGGAGCAAAAGATTGAAGAGCATGTCTGCAATGATCTTGCTGACACTGGGAAAAGGCTGAGCTTTACGTCCGGACACTTCAAACGCCAGATCAGCAATGTCCTGCTCGACAATACGGAACAAAAATCACAACTCTACATTTCAAATATTACAAAACAGATATACATGTATGTATGTGGAGATGTATGTTTCTTGAGCAGCAAATCAGCATATTAGAATGATTTCTGAAAGATCATGTGACACTGAAGACTGGAGTAATGACTGCTGAAAATTCAGCTTTAACATCACAGGAATAAATTACATTTTAAAATATATTAAAAATAGAAAACAGTTATTTTACCACTATAAAGTCCTGCCTAACCCAGTAAGCATGGTAAAATCACTGTAAAGAATGGTTATTTACTTTTTTATTTATTGCTCTGATAAACTGCTTAATTACAAGAATGCTGATTTCACGATCAAACCAGTATGCCACCCATAAAGTATGTTCAAAATAGTCTCACCTGGAACCAAATGGCATTGACTATCTTGCTAAGCACAAAGAGAGGCAGAACCCAGAGAGCACTGAACACAGATGTCAGAATGAACTCCAGCCAGGACCACACATTACCATGTAGCGAAGGGTCACCTGAAACCAGATCAGCAGAAGAAGCATAAATACAAAGACAAATCTGGAATATATGACATGGACGTTTTTTTAAAAGCGACACATACCTATGATTCTAGCAGTGAGGGACTGCAGCAGTGGGATAAACACCCGATAAAACAGGAACAGACTTAGCTGTGAGATAAAAGAAATGGGATTATTTCATATAATAGTTTAGCATACACATACCAAAGCATAGTTGACCAATAAGAGACAGAGAAATGTACCCAAAATACACCTCCATTCCAGGCACAGCACTGAAAAATTCGACTTGCTAGTTTTGGTTCACTGTTAAAGAAAAAAAGCAAAGAAACCTATTTCATCAGGACCAGTAGTATTAGAATAGACTGAATAAATGAATTCGAATGGCACATCTACCAGTCCTGTTTCCGCTCCTCGCTCTGAGCCCGTCTCATCGCCAGGGCCCCGCTCGTTCTGCGCCTCCTCTGCTCCTCCCTCTTCTGCTGAATTCGAGCATCGAGCTTGGAGATGGTTCCAATGCCCAGGATGGAGTCCTTGATTCCCTAAAATAAAATAGGAAGCCACTTTTTCAATAAGAATGAAATAAAATATTATTACAATTAAACATAACTGATTTTAATACATTTTAAAATAAAATTTATTCCTGTGATGCAAAGCTGAATTTTCAGCAGCCATTACTCCAGTCTTCAGTGTCACATGACCCTTCAGAAATCATTCTATTCAAAAAATTAAAAGGCAAGCTTGTGTTTCTAACTAGGAACCAACACCAAGAGCTTAAGGTGATGATAAACGGCAACTTTTTAAAGAAATGTTGCTGGGGCACTTTCCCATTGAGAATGGGCAACAAATTTCTATCTGGATACTTTAGATCGGTTGTGGGCCCTGTGTCTCACCTGGTTGCCCAGCAACACTGCTCAAAAAGTTGTCCCATGTATCAATACCTTTACAGATGTTGATGTGATTTCAAGTCATAAGACATTAAATCAAAAGGTTTATTAGATGTAAAATTAGGTTCTGACCGTCGCAACATTGCGGACAAACGCTCTGACACCGTCCGTCATCTCCACACCGGCTGCAGAGTCATCAACTGCAGGAGGGGCAACCAGGGGCCAGGCAAGATCTCATGTCAGGAGGAGGACACGCCTGCAAACTGTCCAGAGAAAGAGAACTCTTTATATCTGTGGCTTCATAACATTTTCATGCTTTGATCTCAGTGTTAAGCCATTTGATCTGACAATTTGATCCAGCAGCTTTGAAAAAACACCCTGAAATTCGTCATGAACTAAAAAAGCAATAAGTTAAATAATGAAAAGAAATAAATTAAATAATGTGTCTTCAATTTTAATAGAGAACTTAGAGGCTCACAACTGAAATGACATGTATGTTGAAAACATGAACTCCATGTGACCATAATCAAGGGTCACACACACAAAAACAAACACAAACACACACACACACACACACACACACACACACACACACACACACACACACACACACTAACAAACATATTTTTGCAAGATATTTTGATCTGAACTAATGCTTGGTGTAGATAAAAACACTCCATATCACCAAAAGACAGCATGCTATATTAGGCCAAATACGATTATCCTTATTTCGATTATCAGAAAACATTGTTTGATGGACCAGTTCTCTAGTAAACAACAAAAACAGCAGCATTAGCCAGTGGATCATTAGCTGAGCAGCTAACTACAGCAAAATCAACTTTAACAGATATTATCGGATACATATAACCATAGAAAACATGTTTACATATCAATCCAGCACACCGTACCTCATGTGCCTATTTAGGCTAAAATCTTCTCTTCACCTGAAGCCTTGGAGTTTCACTCTCTTTTCTCAAGCTCTCAACAAAACAGCATCAGGTCAGCGCAGCTGCGCATGCGCGAAGCGGTCTGACATTTGACGGGATTTGTAGTTTTTAGATCGCGCTTATTGACAGGAACTACACCGCAGATACCCAAGCGACGCTTTCTGTTTGTTCCTAGAAACTCATCGCATAAATGTCACTGTCTTTTACCGGATCCTGGTGGGCACTTTATTTCAGATTACATTTTAAACATTTCATAGCTCTTAAATGAGTAAAACATGGCTGTTTTCAGTATAAGAAACAATCATAGGAGGCGATATGTTATTCTGTTTTTAAGTCTTGCGTGCTTTATTATATACCGACACTTCAGGTAAGGCAAAACTTTGCACTTATCTTGTGTCTTTAAATGTCTTTAATATTTAATATTTTGATATAGCTCCTGTTGCCGGTCCTCTGACAATACTGTCGGTCTGCTGTTGTCAGGAGGGACTTAATTCTGGTTCTTGTTTCATCCTGGTCTGCATCATTATCTGGGCTCTGCACAGCACTGGGGATACATCATTAATGTAGATCCTCGCTCTTCGATAACAACACAACCCTCCAACTGTAGAATCAGACTAATATCATTGCAAAATTGAACGAACTTTTAAAATCAGAGTGAGGCCTTGTAAAGCTGGAAATTGGTGTGATTGTGTGAAATTCTAAAAGGTCATGTGATCAGGTGGCTACAGAAAACAATTGTTTAATGCTTTAATTATTAAATGACAATAATTAATTTAATAATTAATTGTGCTTCTTTACAAATTCTAACTTTCAAGTATTTGTTTGCTTGTTTGTTAAATACTTTAATTATTAAAATGGCAATAATTAATTTTTAAATAATTAACAGTGCTTCTTTACAAATCCCAACTTTCAATTATTTATTTATTATTAAATGCTTTAATTTGTAAAAAATGGCAGTAATTAATATCTAAATAAATAACTGTGCTTCCTTACAAGTTCCAACTTACAAGTATTTGTTTGTTTATTCTAATAATTTTTTTACTTATTTATTTACTTACTCCATTTATTTAAATTATTAAATTAAAATGGCAATCAGTTTTAAATAATTAAGTGTTCTTCTTTACAAATTCCAACTTTCAAATACTTCATTTATTTATTTTGTTTGTTAAATATTTTAATTATTAAAACTGCAAAATTTAATTTCTGAATAATTAACTGCTTCCTTACAAATTTCAACTTTCAAGTATTTATTTATTTATTTAGTTAGTCAGTTAAATGCTTTATTAAAATTGGAATAATCCATTTCTAAACAATTAACTGTGCTTCTTTACAAATTCTAACTACTTTCAAATATTTATTTATTTATTTTAGCTATTCATTTGATACTTTATGTAATTTTACGTACATAGGCTCTGACCTTGACCTTGGAGGACTGCCCAGGTGATTTCTGCTGTTGAATGGAATATAAACGGCTCTACTGTAGCATAACTTTTAAGTCATATCCTGCAAATTCCAGAGAAAATGTGATAAAAAAAATTGTGAGGCAGCAAGCAAATGCAGCATTTGATCAAATCAAAATGATGTGCCATGCTTTTTGGTAACGAATGTCATGAGGGGAATTAAAAAAAAAAACTTGTTACAAGGAACTACATTTAAATATCCTGTGTTTCTTCACATTTGGTAGCACTTTATTTTAGTCCACTTAGGCATTCTACTAACTTTGCAACTTCATGTCAACTAGCAGTCATTAGAGTATTAGTAGTCTGTTTGCTTAATATCTGCTAACACTATTTTGATGGTCCTCCAACAGACATTCTACTAAGCAGTCTTTACAAGTACATGTCAACTTATACACTCTATAAAATGCTGGGTTAAATACAACCCAGTGCTGGGTAAAATAGGGACAAACCCAGCAATTGGGTTGTTTTGACCCAGCAGTTGGGTTAAATGTTTACCCCAACCTTCTGGGTAGTAACCCAACCGCTGGGTCAAAACAACCCAACTGCTGGGTTTGTCCCTATTTTACCCAGCACTGGGTTGTATTTAACCCAGCATTTTTTAGAGTGTACTACTAACCTTAACTTACCAGTCTACTAATACTCTACTGAGAGTTAGTTGACATTTAGTTGCGAAGTTACTTAATGGTTAGCAGAATGTCTAAAGTGGACTATCAAAATAGTCTTCTGCGAACCACTTACCAAGGATTCATAGCGGCTGTAAACGTATACTTCGATAAGCTTATTCCCAAAGTGGTGCCTTTCCAGGTAGGATTGTTTCTGAAACATAAGAAGTACTTAAAAATGTACTCTGAGTGATGTGTGATGTTGGACTTATATGTTGTCAGTTTAAGAAAGGTGGGCCTGTCATTGCTGTTCAAGTGGAAAACAAATATGGATCACATGCAAGAGATGGAAACTACATGTCATTTATCAAAGAGGTATGAATGAACATTCCAAACTCAGATGTCGTACTTTTCTTTGATGGCAAAGTTTTTAATATAATTTCTTCCAGGCTCTTCAAGAAAGGGGCATCAGTGAAGTTCTCCTAACATCAGACGACCATGAAGGTCTAAAATAATTCAAGAAAATGAATCATGATGACATCAAATATCTTGAAGCAGTGCAGGTAGATATTTTAGGGTCGGTTTTGTAAATGAAAGTGTTAGATAAAACGTTTGACATTACTTTAATCGCATGTGCATAAAGCCCAACGGTCCTGTGCTGGTGATGGAGCTCTGGACGTGGAGGTCTGATGGATGGAGCGGTTTACACCATAGTTTTCCTGCAGAGGGTAAGATGTTATCATATGACACAAAAAAACAAATAAAAAAAACGTTGAAATTAATAAAACAAACAAATAATAAATAATATTTTAATATTTTTAAGTGAATAATATAAAACAATAATTGTTTCATTTTATTATACTTTTTTATTTTTTATTAATTAAAAATTTTATTTGTTTTATTTAGCTACTATTTTATTTATTTTTTTTATAATAATTATTTAAAAAGCCCTTGATAACTTGTCATTTACCATTATTAACATGAAGGGCCGAAGCACTGATGTGAAATTTCCTTTCTAATGACAGACCTGGTTGCCGTGGTGAGAGAGATACTGAGACGAGGAATGTCCATCAACCTGTACATGTTCCACGGAGGGACAAACTTTGGCTTCATGAATGGAGCATCGGCCAACCCATCGTACAAAGCACTGGTTACAAGCTATGGTTTGTTCATCTTAAAAGTGACTCCACAATTAGCCTCAAGTTGGCTGCATATTAAACTAGGGTGGAATAATTCATATTAAAATTATATCACCTTTAAAAGGACAGAACACCCAAAACTTGCAGTTATCTCATCATTTACTCACCCTCATGTTGCTGCAAACAAGAACACAAAAAAATATATATATTGAAGAACACTGGGAACCAAAAAACATTGGAGACCATTCCATTGTTTTAAAAAAAAACTTAGACAAATTCTTTTTATTTTTCACATGAGAAAGAAAGTCATATAGATTTGGAACAACATGCGGGATGATGACCGAATCTTTATTTTTGGTGAACTGATGTTGTACTTCACAATATGGCCAGTGTGTAGTGCTATCAAGTAGAGCACAAGCATTTCATGTAGGACTGAAAAAGCAGCAGAACAAAGTGCTAGTAGGTGCTTAGTAGGCTTAATAGGTCAACCAAAAATGAAAATTTGCTCAAAATTTACTCACCCTCAGAAATGTAGCATTACATCACTTGCTCACCAGTGGATCTTCTGCAGTGAATGGGTGCCGTCAGAATAAGAGTCCAAACAGCTGATAAAAACATCACAATAATCCACACCACTCCAGTCCATCAATTAACATCTTGTAAAGTGAAAAGCTGCACGTTTATAAGAAACAAATCCATCATTAAGGCATTTTAACTTTAAACAGTAGCAAAATATCTGGAGTCCATAATCCATGCTAACACTTCCTCCAATGAAAAGTACATCTCCTGTTGTCCTCTCACATCAAAATCCACCAACATATTTGTTTAGAACTGTTTTAGACTGTTGGTCTGTGCATATTTCTCTCCTGATCCAGACGAGACAACTTTATTTTTACTGGAGAAAGCAATATTATGGATTATGGCCTTATATTTTAGCCAGAAGCAACAGTTTGAAGATAAAAATGTCTTGATGGATTTGTTGGCTTTTCTCACCTCAGGCCATCCATCTTTGATTCTTTCAACATTTTGGATGCTGTACAACATATTATTGGTTAATATTGTTTTCCTCCCATCCATGTGGCCTTTTTGAAAAGTTATATCAAAGGAAAAATGTACTACATTGTATCTAATAATAACATGCTCACATGTTTTCTGAGCTGTGCTGAATTCTGTGGTGCTCATCAGGTGAAATCCTCCCTGAGATGCCTGGTCTCCGCTGGAAAGAAGAATATGAGGCGGCCCTATTGTTCCAGCATCTGTCACTGTGGGACGCTCTGCCATACACACATGAGGTAAGAAGTCTACTTGACCCTGACTTTACCCCGAGAAACAGGAACATTTACTCTGAGAAATTAATCTCAAAATCCAACTTCTTTACCCTCGAGCCTTTCAAATCTCAATTCCCCGTCAATATGGAGAATCTGCCTGTGAATAACGGTAATGGCCAGGACACACCCTCTACGAGACCACCATCACCAGAGAATTTTTCTTGCTGAAAAATCTCACTGACACACATTAATTTGATCAAAAGTGACAGTAAAGATATTTATAATGTTTCATCAAAGAATCCTGAAAAAATACATCACGGTTTCCACAAAATTAATAAGCAGCACAACTGTTTTCAACACTGATAATAATAAGAAATGTTACTTGAGCAGCAAATCAGCATATTAGAATGATTTCTGAAGGATCATGTGACCCTGAAGACTGGAGTCATGATGCTGAAAATTCAGTTTAAACATCACAGGAATAAATTTCATTTTAAAATATATTATTAATAGAAAATTATTATTTTAAATTATAATATTTCACCGTATTACTGTTTTTATTGTATTTTTGAACAAATAAATGAATTAACTTTATTGA